TGCGGGCAAGATTCAAATGTCAACTGAAGTTTGAGATTCGGAGGCCCTGATTCATTAAACCCATAGTTATGTATTGGACCTACCATGAGTTGAATGCATGCATACAGTGTGGTGGGAAGGGTCTGTGAGCCCTGAGAGGCCAGAGTTTGAGAGTCTGGTGGTGCTTCTAGTCATAACAGCCACATAATAGGAAATGAAAGGAATAGTATTTACCTACTAGGTACCAGGCCTATGATAATGCTTTATGTTCACTGACTTACCAAATAACTTACAAACTATACAAACTTTATTATCAGGAACTGTTAGTTATATTTAATAACTCAGGCAAAATATTCATATACTCTTACTAGTACTAATAGTCATTACCATGATTGATCTTTTAGGCTGTCTTTGACGTACAGAAATGGACAGTGTCGTACGGTTCCACCTAATAAGTAGCACTTACCTCTTCTCTGCCTCAATCTTACTTACCTACGTTTCTGTTTGCCTCTTCTTTCTCACTTAGTTTCGAATCAGTTACACTTTGTCAATTTGTAAGCTGTCTTAAATCCTTTTAGGAGCAGCATACAAATAGAAAAATACAGTGTCCCCTATGCCACAACCAGCTATAACCACCATGGACATTTTTGTGTGTTGCTTTCCAGTATTTTTCTCTGCATATTTATGTACATATTGAAGCCAGGTTGAAGACAGCCTGTAATTATGTCAGCCCTGTGTTCTGTTCCGTTAGCATTTCTCCATTTAAACCTGACTCTTTGAAGTCTAGTGCTGTCTCACGACTATGTAACACATTATTTGACTTTTCCGGAATTCTGGCTCTATCTAAGGGGATAGGTTTCCTGTCACCGAGCCTGACTGAACAATTCTGAGATTATCAACACTGCCATAGGGCCCTGAAGAAGCGTCTAATGAATGCAAAAGTTCAAAGCGGTTTTGTTCAGGTGTTATTTTTGGAGACACTTTCTCAGGCTTTTATGATGCAATCCTCTTTGTGCCCCTTTCTTGCAGCAGCTGCGGCCAGGAAAAAAGCACTAAGTGGGCTTGCTTACTGGTCCCCAGGGGTGGGTACCCTGGGCAGGCCAGCCTGGAAGTCAGTTGCCTCCTCTCCAGGCCCTGCCTGGACCGCTGAGAGTCAAGCAGACAGTTATTCGCCATCCCTACCTCTATTCTGTCTTCAGTAACTGGCAGCTTCATCCTGCCGGGGAGTTTGGAATGAGCTAGGACTTTCCCATCAGTCTGAACTCCTGGGTTTTCCCAGGCCTGGTGACTCAGAGGGTAAGGCATCGAGCCGAGGAAGAGAAAGGAGAACCTGGACTCCTGGGTGCCTTTGTCTCAGCACACAATCACCTCCCAGGAAGGTTGTCCTCCACTCACTCCTGTGGAATCTCTCTGCCACTTTGTTGTAAAGAAAGTCAGCCCCAATGAAGGGTAAAAAGAAGTGCCAGGGGGCCGTGGGGACAAGACATATACTGGTAGAAAGGGCACTGGGGCAGGGTCTGGACAGCTGAGAATGTGTCTAGCACCGGGATGAAAATCAGTAGTTCACAGGGCTACTTTGTTTGGCCTACTCAGTATTTTTTTAATGGTAAATTTCACATAAAGACCTGTATATCCGGCTTCCCTAGAAAAGTCAAGATCTGACAGCATCTGACCATATCTTCTCATGCAATATCTGAGGCTGGGTAGCAGCCGGCCCCGGACGGGCTCTTTCCTCTCCAGATTAACACAGAGCCCACCCACTTGTGAAATCTCACCTCATAGGACGATAGGCACAAAAATATACTGAAATGAGTTGAAACAATGGTAATACTTTTTTGATGAAAGTATTTTTTTTTAATTTAATTTTTTTGAGACAAATCCTTGTTCTGTCACCCAGGCTGGATTGCAGTTAGCGCTCACTGCAACTTCCGCCTCCCGGGTTCAAGTGATTCTCATGACTCAGCCTCTTGAGCAGCTGGGATTTTTAAAATATTTTTAGCAGAGACGGGGTTTTGCCATGTTGGTAGACGGGTTTCCAGCTCCTGGGTTCAAGTGATCTGCCCGCCTCGACCTCCCAAAGTGTTGGGATTACAGGCGTGAGCCACCGCACCCAGTCTCGATGAAAGTATTTTAGATGTTTGTGTTTACACGTAAGGCTCTGTGTTTGAAGTACTAAATGGTGATAGTATTTTGTATCTCAGATGGAATAACAATAGGAAAATGTTCTTCAGGAAATTGTATTCCTCCAAAGGGAGAGATTATAGAGTGATGAACACAGACACTCCATCTACCTTTCCTCCACACTTTGTAAAAAAAATTATATCAATTACCATCCCACACTAGAATCAGATACCATCCCTGATCGGCTACCAAGATCTATACACATTAAGAGAACAATATTCTGGATTGAACCTGTTTTGCCTTTTTAATTGGAACATAAAAGGGATACCTTTTTCTCTTTCCAAGTTTTTAAAATTTTGGTCTCCCTCCTACATTCACTCCTTGTTGAAAGTGATGGAAAGGCAATTAGGTCTGTGTCCTACATGAAAGCCCACAGTCAGGAGGGGAGTCTCAGTGAGGTGATTGTCCGGTTAAGACCTGTTCCTGTGAACCCCCAAGCACAGGGCAGAGCAGGACACGAACTAAGAGCCAGGCTTTGCTGAATCCGGGTCAAGTTCACCGAGAGCAGTGTGTGCAGCACCCTTCCTCCTCTGCACCCTGGCAATAGAGGCCTTTCTCACTGAAAACCCAAGTGGTGTCTGCAGTCCGCCTTGCCCAGGTCTGGAGGCAGAGCTGAGCTTGGTGAACAGGTGCCAGGGGATTCCTGTCGTCACTGGACTCTGCTTCAGAAGCTGCTTATTGCAAAGGTACTGCTTGATCACGGTCTGAGCATTGGATTTGAAGGCCAACACCCGCTAGCAAAACCATCATCCCTCTAATAACAGCAACCCAAGCCGATTTGATTTCTCTAGTGAAGGTTCCAGATGAGTCTAATCAAGGCTTCCCACCCATCTTCTCCCAACACCAGAGGTTCCCTGTGTAAACGATCATGGTTAACTTGCACTGAATACTATTTATATGCCAAGTACCATTCCACATTCTTTACATATTTTAGCTCATTTTACTCAAAGAGGGACCATTATTCCCAGTTTGCATATGAGCAAACGGAGCCAGGGAAAGCAAAGGGCAGAACAGGGAACTGATTTCCCGGAGTTTGGGCCCAGAGTCAGTGTGCTTAACCACGGCCAACACCAGCCCCAGAGAGCTCCAGGCTCTGTGGTTTCTGGAAGTCGTGCTCCCGACTCCTTCCCCTTGCACAGTGGAGAGAACTCGGTGTTGGAATGAAACCAGCTAATTCCAATAGGGCGCTTCGGCTGTTGTGAGGAGCTGGGCAACGAGTAAGCTCGCTAAGCCTCACTTTGCTCCACTACAGAACCAGGAGAGTGCAGCAGAGGAGAGGGTCTGGGTTTCGGAATAAGCCGCGGGTTTTCTTCCTGCTTAGCAAATCCTGGGTAATTGTATCATGTCCCCTAACCCCTTAAACCTCAGCTAGAGAGGGAGCCACTGTAAGCCCCAGGAAAGGCTTTCGTGTGCACATTGGAGACAACCCCTCCCAGCAGCGCCCGGCACAGAACTGGGGCAAGCTGTTGCGATAAGCACGGGGGTGCACTCTCCCTGGGACAGATCGTATCTCACAGCGGTTTGGAGAACTGTTGTATACACAGGGAGGTGACACAGGCAGAGCAGGATGTCCGCAGCAGGCTTAGGACCGAGTGGTGATAACAGCCCCCTTCCCTTTCCTCAGCCTGACGGTCCCAGCCTTTCCCATTGCGGACCTAGAGCCCAGACTCCCAGGGCAGAGAGCTCCCCACAGACTGATAAAGGTGAACAATCCAGACTTTGTTTCTGACAGCTTTATCCCTGACTTTCCAACTGGTTTTTATGTGTGTCTTCACGTCTCTGACCTCCTCAGCCTCACAGGAACTAGACTAGGAGGTTCAAGTTCTTAAGGAGAAGGCAGGAGCGGGAGAGCCTCGCTAGCCCCCACTTGCGGGAATCTCGTGCGGACCGAGTCGGGGCGGGAGAGGGCGCGCACCAGCCAGGCTAGGGCGCACGGGGCGCCAAGGGGCGCGGGGCCGTTCGGGGCCGTTCGGGGCCGTTCGGGCCCGTTCGCGCGGCGGGGCCAGTCGGAGCTTTTCTCTCGGCAGCTTGGTTGGCCGCCCGTCTTCTCCGCGCAGCGGGCGAGGTCTCGATGGGCTCATTAAGGCGGCAGGTAGGCAGTGCCCCGGCGGCGGCGGCAGGCGGTCCTGGAATGTGCGAGGGGCGTGATGACAGCGGCCGCAGGCCTCTTTGCGCAACACCTTCGCCATATATACCCGGGGCGCTGCGCTCCACCTGGCCGCCGCCTCCAGCCCAGCACCTGCGGAGGGAGCGCTGGTGAGTACCGCCGCCGGGGCAGGGGCGCTTCCTGGCTCTTTCAAGGACTTTGATTCACTTAATTCTTGTAAATACCCCTCGATGCTGACTTCAAGGAACTTGGCTGGCTTTGGGCCACAGAAGTGAAAAAAACAAAGCTTTTCACAATGTTCAAGCTGTTTTCTTCTTAATGTCACGGTTACTGATTTTATTACAGCTCTTACTGCTACACTCTTACTATTGACAGTGTTATTAATCAACCACACTTGCGGATTCTAAAATGATCACTGTTTTGAGAGTCGTGGTTTGGAAGAGAAAGGCCCAGGGGATAGAAGGCTCCACCCAGGAATCAGGATGGCTAGGCTCTTTGTGGCTGGGTCACCAACTAGCCATGTGACTTAACGCTAGTCCCTGTGAGCCCCTGGGCTGCCGTCTTCCACCCTTTATAAGAAGGGGAATGCGACAGCTCAGGACCATGAAAATTCTAGGTTTGTGGTGCTTCCTGGTGATGCGACACTGCCCTCCACCCAAGTGTGACTTCCACGTGCTACAGTGCTTGTTTGCAGTTATTTAGGGTACCTAGGAGACAGCCTTAGTTTGTTTCTATTAGGGCCCGTGGCCATCAGCAAAGGGTCCGTCCTTCAGCTGTCTTGGGAAGCAAAACCCACAATTTCTGTTTTCCAAGTCAGAAATGGGTGAGCAGGCTGGGGAGATGACTTACAAAAAGATGTGCACAGAGGTGGTTGGCTTCGGGGACTGCGCATCCTCAGGCCAGAAAGTAGGGGGCTGCATGGCATGGAGGTAGTTCACGTTCCGTGGAGCGATGCCTGCCACGGGTGGCTCGCACTGCGCTGAGGAGAGTTGGAATCTCGTTTTCTTTGAGGAGGTCCCTTTCTCAAACATGTTAATTTCATGGAAGCAGCTTATGGATTTCATCACTCCGAGTCCGCTCTTCCTGTTCAGGTGCCCCAGGGGGTTTATGTGTTAGCCCTGATCGCTCTGGGCCTTGTCCTTCTTTCCTTTTTCCTTCTTCCCTTGTGTGCTGGCAGTTCTTTAACTTGTCCTGGGTTGGGTATTCTTGGAAAACTGTGCCTGTAGGAGTGGCCGTTGTTTCAGATTGTTAAAAAAAATAAATGAAAATAAAAAAGACTGCTTCTTTTGTCCCATGCCAGCTGATCATGATCTTCTCTGCTTTTGTAGTTTGGGAAATGGGTGATAAGAAGGGCGTGCTTTGTAAAAGGATTGGGTACTAAACAAATTGCTCCATCCAAAACTCTCCCCAGATTGCTCAACCGTCTCACTGAAGCAAGTCCCCTGTGGTATGAGGATGGGCTTCTGATTGTTGCTGTTAGACACAAAGGGGACACAAAAATAGCCCGAATTCAATGTAATGAGGAAAACAGTCTCTCAGAATCAGAGTGCTTTGGAATAAACTGGGCTTTAATAACCAGTTTCAGGCATCTTCCATCCCTCCATCCTCACCCACACCCCCACTTCCATTCTGGGGACAGCAGGGGGCAATCAGGACATCCAAGGGAATTTATTCATCTCAGTGAATTTTAAAAATGCAAAGGTACAAAAAGAGGGCTATAAAAAGATTGCGGTATGTTTAAGATGTTTATATTTACAAATTTAACTGCTTTAACCTCCCCCCCAATACAATGCAGCATAACTGATATAGTTACAAGTTATTTACAGGATTTATTTTAAGATGCCAAAAATACAAATTGATAGTGCATGGTGAGGGTGAGGTTTGGTGATATGGCCCAAGTTTAAAGTGATAGAATAAATGTCTTTAAAATTTTATTAGTGTGTGACATCAAAAATGTAAACTGAAGTTATCTAGCCATGTGAGGCCCAGGCCAATTGCTTCTTTGACTCCTCTCATCACTACCACCACTGTGTCCTTGAAGGGATTATTATTAGCAGTAATGTAGGGACAGGGTCTCGCTGTGTTGTCCAAGCTGGTTGCAAACTCACAGGTTCAAGGGACTCCCCCACTTTGGCCTACCAAAGTACTGGGATTACAAGTGTGAGCCACCATCCTTAGCCTATAGGGGTGATTATTGTTCCTTGTGATGGCTGTAAGGGAAGCAGAGGAAAAAGAGCCATCACCCTCTTGGGAATGTTTGAAGCATGGAGTCATTCTTTCAAAGTACAAGAAAGTTTTCCTGGGCATCCTGAGAACATTGGCCTGCATGAGGTTGAACTTATCTCTGCAGTGTTTGGTGCCTATGTGATTTGAAGCAGTTATCTTCTCTGCGGCTCAGGTTTTCCCACTTTAGAACGAGGATACTGTTCATTCTAAAGGAGACTCTAGTTTACATAGATACATGAAATGCTGCGAGTACATTTGTGCATCAATTTGCAAGTGCCAGGCACAAAGTCCTTAATAAACACTGCTGGCTACCATGTGCCTGGCACTGTCCTATGTGCTGTGGATACAGTGGCCATACTGGTGAAGGCCACCATCTGGTGGGAGACTGTGTGTCCATGTCCTGGTTCCTCACAGGACCACTGCCCTGGGCTTCCTCTTCTCCCCATTTCTTCAGATGGCCTTGACTGCTGCTCTGAATACAAGGGGCCCCGGAACAGGTCTTGGTTGGAGAAGCCCAAACAATGTGAATGTAGGGGTTGGGTGATTGCCAGGTGCCCTACATTCCCCTGCTTCCCAAGTCTGAGACGAGTCAAGAAAGTTCCTCTCCTGGGTCTTTGAGAAAGAATAAGAGCTCTTTCTGGCAGTGGGTGCCCATGTGGGACAGGAAGTGGAGCCAAGAGGGTGAGGCACACAGGCAGCTCAGTTATAGAGGCCAGTGTGGGCAGCAGGGGAGCCCCTCGCTGGGCTTTAGTAAAAAGCTTCCAAATGATGACTTCTCCCTTCCTCTGCTGCTTCTGGTAGGTGGCAAGAATGTGCTGGAGTGAGGCCTTGGGAAGGCTGGGAGAAAACAAGGCAGTGGTTACACCAGGTCTATGAGGGTAGGAGAAAGGCTTCAGAGGGGCTCAGAGCTCCAGGGTACATTCTCTGCCGGCACCATGTAATACCTGCCCCCGTCCCACCCTCCTCCCCCCACCCCCAACCGCATGCTCCTGCTCAGCCATTGCAACATTCTTGGGCGGGCATTTCCAGCATCTGAATGACCACGTGGGAGTGACCTGCAGACATGCCAGTCTAGCCAGCTATCCGAAAACACTCAGAGCCCTCAATGTGCCTAGACCTAAGGTCCTTGGGTGCCCTGGTGCTTTGAGGGCTGGAGAATTCCTCCTCCCACCTTTGCCCCTCGCTGTGAGATCTATGGAAAAGCTTCTGGCTTTGGAGCCAGCAGTCTTGGGTTCATATCCTGACACCAGCTCCAGGTAGCTGGGGGCAAGCTTCTTTGTTTCTCTGTGCCTCAGTTTCTTTGTCTGTACACTGAGAAGAAAAACTCCTTCCTTATTAGATTTAATGAGGTCACAAACTGCATAGGACACTCCCCTGCCACAAAACAAATGTTAGCATCTTTCTCCCATGAAGGCTTTGGGTTCATTTATTCAAATATTGACTGAAATTCACTACCGTGCTGAACATTGGAGATGAAGAGCTTATGGTGTAGGGTACACACAGTGCACCCACAATGCATTTCCACATAATAAACACTCTTGTTTATTGTTCGTGACACAGTGCATTTCCACATTGTGTCATGAAGAATAAACAAGAGTTCTGAGTGTTTATTCTGCCAGGAACCATGCTGTAGCCTGACCTACATTTATTAACCAATTAGTCCTCATAACAGCTCAGTAAGCGAGATGGTATCGTCCCCATTTTTGAAATGATGAAACTGAAGCTCAGAGTGGCTCAGGGTTGCATGTAGTGAGAGGCAGGCCTCTGCAGAACCAGCCCTCCCCCACTGTGAGTCCCTCTCTCCAGGTATCACTGAGCCATCTTACCTTTGTGGGTTTAGAGGTTGAGTTGCATCGTTTAAAAGAATTTGAAGATTTTAGAAGAAAATTTAAAAAATCACCCACAGTCTCACCACCCACTTTAACCCCAGAGAACATTTCTGGATCTTGTCTGCCTTGTTGAGATGATGCTGTGAATGGGAAAAAGAAGTGCTTTAGATTCACGGTTTATCTAAAGCATTTTCCTATGGTTTTACTGATGCAGTATAACCTTTTTAATAGCATACTCTTACAATGTATGGACATACTATAGTTAGAAGGAGTAATTTCTCTTTTTTTTATTTTATTTTTTAACACTGTAAATGATAGAGCAGCAAATATCTTTCTGGTCTACATCCCATTCATTCTGTCATAAATACGCCCGGCAGAGCTTAAGACCTTGAAGATGAAGTAATGAACAAGACAAAGTCTCCTTTTTGGTAGGCTTTGCAGTCTGGTAAGCAGGAAATAGGTTGAAGAGGAAAGGGGTCAGGTGGACCCACGCTCTAGAAAGCCCTCTTGGAAGAGGCGATCAGTGCAGATTAGGTATTTCTGAGAGCAAATGTTCCTAGCTTCCTGATTCCTAGAGTGAAATGACTGGGTCACAGATGTGTGATGAACGTAAGGCACTTTGGACAGTTTGCTAACTTTTCCAGAGCTTCTAGCAGTGTTCAACTCATAACATCTTTTCCAGCATAGCATAATAAACTTAAATTCTTTTTGCTACTTTGATAGTTGTCACTGTTTTAGTTTGAATATATTGGATTGCTTCTTTTTTTTTTTTTTTTTTTTTTGAGATGGAGTTTCACACTTTTTGCCCAGGCTGGAGTGCAATGGTGTGATCTCGGCTCACTGCAACCTCTGCCTCCCAGATTCAAGTGATTCTCTGGCCTCTGTCTCCTGAGTAGCTGGGATTACAGGTGCGTGCCACCACGCCTGGCTAAGTTTGTATTTTTAGTAGAGACGGGATTCCACCATGTTGTCCAGGCTGATCTCGAACTCCTGACCTCAGATGATTCACCCGCCTCGGCCTCCCAAAGTGCTGGGATTACAGGCGTGAGCCACTGCACCCATCTTGGAATGCTTCTTTTTTAAAGGGCATTTTAGCCATTTGTTCCTTTTCTGTGAATTGCCTTTTTCCAGTCCTTTGGACTGCTTTGTCTAATGGACAAGGACTAATTGTCTAGTGTCAAAGAAAAAGGACTGCAAGGACTGGAATGTGAGGTGTGTCAAGTGCCTTGTAACTGAGAAAGGCTTTGTGAAGAAAATGGATTGTAGGAAGGTCTTTTATGAAGGCTGAAAAGAATGTGGTTCTAACAAAGGATGATTAATCCAGACAACATGACATAGTAATAATTGCTGCTATTTATTGGATGCCTCCTCGATGCCAGTCACTTTCTAGACTTTTAATTTCACCATTAGTCTCATAACCCTGCAAGAACTGTTCCATTTTATAGATGGATAAACTGGCAGTTTATGCTCAGAGGCATAAAGGGACTTGCCTAAATACACACCCACTAATAGGCGGCACTGCTGGATTTTAAAACCAGGTCCATCACACTTTTCAGAGAAGCCTTGGCTGGTAGGTAAAACACGCAGATGGTATACAAACACTTGCACATATATATATATATATATATATATGTTTTGTTTTGTTTTGTTTTGAGACAGAGACTCGCTCTGTATCCCCCATGCTGGAGTACAGTGGCATGATCTCAGTTCACTACAACCTCTGCCTCCCAGGTTCAAGCAATTCTCATGCCTCAGCCTCCTAAGTAGCTGGGATTACAGGCACCCACCCCCTGCTAATTTTTGTCTTTTTAGTAGAGACAGGGTTTTGACATGTTGCCCAGGCTGGTCTCAAACTTCTGGTCTCAAACCCACCCACCTTGGCCTCCTAACGTGCTGGGGTTACAGGCCTGAGCCACCTCGCCTGGCCCCTGCATATGTATTCACATACACACTAAGTTGTATAAATCTGTTAAATTTCACCGGACAAGGTTTTGCATAGATCTGCAGTGCACTTGTCTTGATATAAGAAGTAGATGGAGTGCCATTGAAGGGTTGTGAGGATTTGGTATGCTATGAGACAACAAAGATGAATGGGCTTGCACCCTGCCTTTTTTTTTTTTTTTTTTTTTTTTTGAGACGGAGTTTCACTCCTGTCACCCAGGCAGGAGTGCAATGGCGCAATCTCGGCTTACCGCAACCTCTGCCTCCCAGGCCTCCCAGGTTCAAGCGATTCTCCTGTCTCAGCCTCCCGAGTAGCTGGGACTACAGGCATGTGCCACCACGCCGGCTAATTTTTGTATTTTTAGTTGCCATGTTTTGTATTTTTAGTTGCAAGGTTGGTCTCGAACTCCTGACCTTAGGTGATCCACCTGTCTCAGCCTCCCAAAGTGCTGGGATTACAGGCATGAGCCACGGCACCCGTTGCTCCCTGCTTTTGACTGAAGGAGAGAGTCAAGACAAAAACAAGTTTAGGAGATTAAAGGTGGTGCGTGCAGCTAACTCAACATTGTAAGAAGTAGTTTGCTTTAGTGACCGGATGAGTGAGGCGGAACCACAGAGGACTGAAATATGGCGCTTAAGATGCCACACTTAGGGGGCATAAGTATGAAATCCTTCCTTCCTTTTGCTGCCACCTCCCCCCGAACCCCCCACCCAGTAGACGCTTTGCAACTGATGATTCTTCCTCTTATAGCATCTCGGTGTGCCTCCTTTCCATGACTGCTGCTTTAAACTGTTTTCTTATCCACAGACCATGGCTCCCTGGCCTGAATTGGGAGATGCCCAGCCCAACCCCAGTAAGTACCTCGAAGGGGCTACAAGTCAGCAACCCATCACCCCTGATAAAAGCAAAGAGACCAACAAAAGTAAGTGTCGCTCGTTTGTCTGCAGATCGGCCTCTTGTGAGGGGTCTGCAGGAGACCCAGGTCTGATTCCTCATGACCCCTTTTGCTTGTTTCAGCAGATAACACTGAGGTACCTGTAACCAAGTTTGAACTTCTGCCGACCTACTCCACGGCTACACTGATAGAGGAGCCCACGGAGGTGGACGACCCCTGGAACCTACCCACTCTTCAGGACTCGGGGATCAAGTGGTCAGGTAAGAGTGAAGCCAGCTGAGACATTCAGGAAGGAAACAGGAAACTTCCTGTGGTTCACGGTGTCACCATCCTCGTGTCCCTCCCCCTTTTCATTGTTCTGATGCCCTTGAAGCAAGGGTCCTGGCTAGGGATGTCACCCTCCCATCATCTTTTTTTTTCTTTTTTTGAGACAGAGTCTTGCTCTGTCGCCCAGGCTGGAGTGCAATGGTGCGATATTGGCTCAGTGCAACCTCCACCTCGTGGGTTCGAGCAATTATCCTGCCTCAGCCTCCCGAGTAGCTGAGATTACAGGCTAATTTTTGTATTTTTAATAGAGATGGGATTTCACCATGTTGGCCAGGCTGGACTTGAACTTCTAACCTTGTGATCCATCCGCCTTGGCCTCCCAAAGTGCTGAGATTACAGGCATGAGCCACGGTGTCTGGCCACCCTCCCATCTTTGAGGTTGAGTCAAAGCATGTTGGAGTAATTGGGGGTCATTCATTCAACAAATGTGCCCGGCACTGTGGTTGTAGCAAAGATGGACATTGTCTGGCTCCTTATAATTCGCTGTCGGAGAACAGTTTCCAGGTACTGGTTTGGAGATGCTGTGGATACAGTGATAAACAGAAAAGGCCCCTCTTCTCAGAGAGATTTCAGAGGGGTCCCCTCATCCAAATATGGGCATTAGGGAAGGTTTCTAGAAAAACAAAATACGCAGCCAGACAGCTGGTGCAAACAATCACTGTTTCATTTCCAAGTGTATGTAGGGCAGAAGGTCTGCCAGTGAACTAGACAGCAAGGAGGAAAAAGGAGATTGGGGTGTGGGGTGGGGAGGAGAGGTAGGAAGGAAAGAGCTGGGAGGGGTAAGATGAGAAGCATTTTAAAAGCCAGTGGAGTAAACAGTAGTTAACGATGAACGATGTAGCATCCCAGGATGTATGATGCCCCAAGCCCTCCATAAATTGAGGCTGATTGCTGCTGTGCAGCTGCATTCTGGAAAATACTCTGCTGTTCGGAACGTGACAGCCATTATCTCCGACCCTGCACTTAGCAGGTGGCGAGTGCTGTTAACTGCCTCACTCAGCGACACTGTGGCTCAGCTGAGCATGGAGCCTGGTTTTTCTGTCACAGACCACATTGAACCCCTCCTCCCAAATGCAAATCCTTTAGAGGCACTTTACCAGGGGTTTCAGCTAAATGGACCACAGTGGTAACTGCTTTGAAAGCTACAGCGATGGCTGCGTCCCATCTGTAAGCCTCGCTAGACATAAGAACTTACGGCTGCCAGGCTGGGAAGGGAGGGGAGGCGGGGGGAGCTCTGAGCTCATTGCTGAACTTCTCAGTGTTTCCAATACTAAAAGTTTCATGTCTTTCTCTCTCTCCCGCCACCCCACCCCGCTGCAGAGAGAGACACCAGAGGGAAGATTCTCTGTGTCTTCCAAGGGATTGGGAGATTGATTTTACTTCTTGGATTTCTCTACTTTTTTGTGTGCTCCCTGGATGTTCTTAGTAGCGCCTTCCAGCTGGTTGGAGGTAAGAATGAAAGACCGAAAGGTCTGGGGGTGAGGGGCGTTATCATGAAATGTGGTTCCGAGAATAAAACTCAGCAAGCCCTCTCCAGCTGCAGCCTCCTCGAGTGTTTTAGGACTGGAACCCACCTCAGATCATTTACGAAGTCTATGCTTTCTGTTACAGAAGAGAAAACCGAGGCCTACACAAAGGGCTATGACTTGGCCCAGGTGGCTTAGGCCAGGAACTGGGGCTAGAGGCTATTCCAAGCTATCAGCCAGTTGAGTTTGTCCACAAACCCCAGGCAGGAAGTTGTTTGACATAAAGACTTAGCTGAGGAATTCCTATATCCTCCCCACCAGAGAGAATTCTGGAATGAGAAAGAGCGCCCTTTCAAAGGTGGGCCCTTGCTGGGGGAAGGACAGAGCCCCTTCTCTGGGCTGGAGGAATCTGCATCCATTGTAGTTACCTACACAGCCCTCAGGGCTGCGTGTGCCCATGCAGTGTGAGAACCCGGAAGGGAAGTCACCCTGTGCTTGGTTACCTTGGTACCTCAATGGTGACATCAGAAACAAACAGGCAGCACTCTGAGTGTCTACTGGGTGCAGGCATTTTTGGGGGCCCTCTATCAAACATTCTTTCTCAAAGCTCTCCCATTTACGGAGATATCATGAACCAGACCTGAGACTCACAGCCTGTAATTAGCAGAGTAAGATTCAGTCTCAGATCTGGGTGTCACAAAGGACCATGGATTTCTGCAACCCTTGGTGCCTCTCTTGGGAACCCATCTGTGTGGCTTGGGAGAGTTGGGGAGGTGGGCATTCATGGGAGAACATGAGGGGCAAAAACTT